ACAAAAAAAAATGGGAGCGTAACTTAATATACAGCCCGTTGATCGACGTTCCTGGCCACGAAGGCCAGGGGCCTGCGTATCCGACCGTTTCAGTTGCCGACCAGGATTTAGTGAGAAGCAGCTGTCTTGTGGTAAGGGAGACCAGCAAGTGAATTGGATGAGCTAACAGTAAAGTCTCTATAATAAAATACATTGAGGTTAGCTAAAGGGAACTATGGACTAAAAATGTCTAGCAGTATATTACAACTAGGTTTGTAATATAACTTAACTAAAAAGGGAACTTGCTAGTCTCTCCCACGGGTTAACAGTGTATAGGGAGCACAAATGAGAGGTCAAGGTCGAGATGACATGTTCCTCTGCCGGTTTAAGGATCGAAGGAGGAGGTAACTCCGACAAATGCAACAGACAAATTTAAAATTCTAACAATTACCTTGAAAGTATTTATAGAAAAGACATAGAGAGGCAACTTTACAGTGGTGGGAAAGTGACTGGAGCTGAGCTGCCAGATCAGGACTGATAATATTACTGATTTTTCTTTGGATCTTATCAAGAAGCTCCAGGTAAATAGCAGGGACATCAGACCATATGTGGCATCAATATTCTAAGCATGGACAAATGGTAGACTTATAGATATGTAAGATAGATTCTGGCAAGAAAAATTGTCTTGCCCAACAGTGAACTGACTTTCTTAGCAGCTGATCTAGCAATGGATTGAATATAGTCTTTCCACTTCATATCAGCTGAGAATGTGATATATAAATATATATAAAGGGTGTTCCAATAATTCAGATCGATTTTAAATATGAATTAAATTTAAGCCTCTAATGATTTTTTTCTTTTTCTTTATTTAATAACTTAAGTCTTTGGCAATTTCAACCATGGAAAGATTAACAATCAAACAACACGTTAAAGTTATTGAAACCTATTACGAAAATGCATGTTCAAACAGAAATGCAATGAGAAGTTCCCAGTTTGAGGTCGCATCATCTCTCAAAACTGAAGTCAATTGGCCACCATGATCGTGCTACTTGACACCTTTAGATTTTTTCCTTTGGGGTCATTTCAAAAGTAAGGTCTATGTCAACAAGCCAACAACAATTCAACAGCTGAAGGGTGAGATAATAAGGCATATTGGTGAGATTGAGGAGCAACTATGCAGAGACATCATCAAAAATTTTGACCATCGAGTGGAGGTGTGCCACTGAAGCCTTGGCGAACATTTGGGAATTATTTTTCATACATAATTGCCATGACTTAAATAACATGATCCAATAGAGAAATAAATAAATTTTCACCAATAACACTGATTTATTTACTGCTGACTTTGATCTGTCTTAATAAAAACCCTTTATGTGTGTGTGTGTGTTTCATTGAACAAGATAGAGAAGATAGTTTTGTGTAGTTTTTATTATGTTTTTCTTGAATGTATACAAGTGTTTTCTTTTCTGGACATAATGAATGTTGAAATTGTCTAAAAGCTTGTTGATTTTAAGCACTTTTAGCTAAATTATTAACTACTTTAATAAACAGTGTGTAAGCACTATTGTAGATAATATAAAAGTTACTGAAAATCGACATATTCTTAGTTTCCAAAATGCAAAAAGCCTTGGAAGCCCATATTATAAAAAATAAAAAAAACAGTCCTTAAAAACACCAATTATGAACACAACCATAATGTACTAGCCATATTTGAAAATTAAGAATATGTCTACTTTTAGCAATTGTTATACTGTCTACAATAGCACATACACACCATTTATTATATACTAGTATAACTGAATTGAAAATATCTAATAGTTTAGCTGAAGGCACTTGGAATCAACAAACATTTGAACAATTTTTACATTCATTAAATCCAGAAAAGAAACAACTGATAAGCATATATGAAAAACATGATGAAAAACTAAACAAACATACTTTGTCAGTCTTGTTCAATGAAAGCATGTATTAAAGAGGTATTGCTGCTCTCTCTTTATTTTTTTAAAATTGATAATTCAACAAAAAAAAGAGGAAATTCTAAACCAAAGCCATCTCAAAATAAACCTGAAATACATTTTCTTATTAATTTTTTAGAATATTCCAAAATTATATCTTTCCAACATGCATAGAAAACATATTGTATAAGAAATACTACTATAAAAAGGAAAAGAAATTAAGCAAGATTTTTGTAGCAAACAATAAAATTAAATCTATTTAATTGAAGAAACAAATTCAAAAATATTTTAAACACAAGGGAGACAATTGTGCAATTATTTTTTTTTTTTTTTTACCGTAACACTCAGGATGTTGACTGCACAGGGGAAACAACTATTCTTATAAGAATTTTTTTAAACTCAACACCAATCATAGGTTTATTTATTAGTGTTCACTAATAAACTAACAGCCATATTTGATTGCCTATAATACCAATGGGTATATCAGACCACCACTTTCTATTTCAACAAAGTTTATTGGAAAAAAAATGCTTTTAGTAAGCTATACAGCATTGATGATCACTGTATACATTCCTAACCATTCTAGTTACATCCAAAAAACTAAAAAAAAACATTTCAATGTAAAATAAAAACAAAAATAAAAGTGGTAATTAGTAACCTGAGTATGAGATCAGAAACAGATAATGTCTAATTTTAAAGTTGGGTACTAAAAATATTCATTACAAAACACTCAGATCAAGTTTTTAAGATAATTTTTTTAATCGAATTTACCCTGAGCAAGACAGTAAACTTACTAAAACATAAGGGGTTCCTGGATGTGAAAGAATTAGAAAAAAAGAAACATTATTAAGAAGTGAGAAAAATAGAAGAGTAATCAGCAAAACAGTAGATAATGATTGACATTGCATTTAAATTTTTGAAGATCAAATTTGGCTGAAATTTATGGAGCTGGAAGAGAGTTCCACAAGCAAGAAGTTTGAGAAAAGAAACTGTTAGCATAGAACTTATGGTACATCTAGCCAATTCAAATGTAAATTGATGAGATCTCAATACCAGTCAGGTACTGTGCTTAAATTCATAAAGTTTTGGCCAAGAACTCATCTGAATAATTGCCATAAAAGTATTTATAGAAAAGACACACAGAGAGGCAACCTTACAGCAGTGGGAAAGTGACTGAAGCTGAGATGCAAGGTCAGGACCAATAATATTGCTGATTCTTCTTTGAATTTTATCAAGGATCTCTAAATATATAGCAGAGGCACCAGACCATATGTGGCAGCAATATTCTAAGCATGGATGAATGGTAGACTTATAGATATGCAAAGATAGATTATGGAGAGAATTTTTTTAAAATTAAAGTGATTGTTTTTTTCATCTATTGTTTTGTTTTAACAGCATATCAACTCTGTCAGTTATTTAATGTTGAATTTTTCATTTTCTTAATATATGGTTTGTAAACAATTCTTTGGGTTGTTGATGCCATCACACTCCAGTAATTCCTCTAGAATGAAGTTATTTAGTGCTATGTCAGTGTGAACTAAGATTATTCCAAATATATTTTTTGCACTATCAATTTTTAACACTCTGGACTTACACCGTCAGTGAAATGATGAGGTGTTTACTGGAAGATGCTTACTTTTTATTTATGAAAATGGTTTATTATGCTCGTGTGTCTCTGTGTGTGTGTGAGTGAGAGAGAGAGAAATACAAAGTTACTGTTATCGTATGAGAATTTAAAAGTGGATTGTGAGATTTCTAATCACTGAATTACCATACAGTACTTTTTCAATTATCCATACCTCAATTTTACAAACTCCAATTAACTGGACATGAAATGAAAAGAGGAACTGAATTCATCCAAACATTTTTCAATTATCCAATCTAAGCCCATTCTAATATTTAATCTCAGACAAGCGCTTTGAAAATTTAGAAAACCATACTCAACAATTGATAAAAACCCTAATAAAATCAGTTCAATTAATTCTTGTTAATTTCCTCATTGTTTTCATATGAAGGACATATATTTGAATTATCACAACTTGGTCATGCCAGAGATTATCAGCAAAAAAGAAATCTGAGCTCAACCAGAAACAGACAAAAATAAATGCAATTTTTCCTTAAATATAAACATTGAACAAAGTGTTTGAAAAAGTTATTTGATATAAATCTTAAATTTCTTTCAGAAAGTTACTTTTTTATTCATTCTTTTTCAATGATTAAAGTATTCAATCCAACATTTTGAATTATCTGAACATATTTTTTTAATTCTTGTCCCAAAGTATCTGGATAGTCAAGAAAGTACTGTAGCTTTATTAATCACATTCAAATAAATTTATGTTTGAGTTTGTTTAAAAAAGTATTCATTTTGAGCAAATGTTACTGAAAAGTTTTGTCAACCAAATTTTTAATATAAAATCATTAAAAACAGCATTTTGTTAAAAATCTGAATTTCAGTGAAGAAGCATATGCACAGACATTGATGTGCACATTTTTCTTATGTATTTGATATTTATATAAAGTATGTTAATTTTAATTTTAGAATTACTAAACTCATAACAGGGACATAGTCAGGTGTAAAATGCTCTCATACATTGAACTTGAAAAAAATGGGACTAATGACTCATTTTTATTTATTAATCATGAGTATGAGTTCTTATAGATGAGGGGGTACCTAAAAGTTTTTATCCTGACCTAATTCTTCATTTCAATAATTGTGATAAAATTTAAAACTACAGTTTAGCTTTTTGTTGTTGTCTTTTTTTTAGTCTCGAGTATTTAAAAAGAAAATTAGTTAACTCCCTGAAAGTTAATAATTTGTTGTAGGATGAAAAGAATGTCCCTTTCTCCACTTACATAGCAGATAGCTTAGGCACCTCGAAGCGGTGTAATGGTTAGCAAGCTTGTCTCGCTAGAACAATTACGACTGAGTAGTAAGTTCGATCTTTACTGGGTGCCCCCTACTTTCGGCCTTGTGCCACATCTAAGCTACGCTTGGAAAATCACTACATAGCAGACAGCTTTTAGATGAAGAAGTAAGGGGAGATAAGCAATGTTTGTCGCTCTTTAATGGCGACTGGGGAAACGAGTTGTGGCAGCAGTTACTGTGACAGTCAAGAAAAAACGACAATGGTTAGGAAGAATGATCCGTGGACACCGTTGCCACCCAGTTCGAGTACTTTACCAATGCCAAAGAACCCTCTATATGACATTATTAGCTCGGAAGAATACCTAGAATCCCTAAGTAAGACTCTTTTAAATACTTATTTACAATCATTGTTGTTAAAAATTGTTACATCATAATTTTTCAAAATGTTTAGCTTAAAAACCTTAAATCAATTTATCTCAAGTCTTTTAAACTCATTGGCATTAACTGTGGCAGAGACTTACAGTTGACGGAAATTCCCGTCATCTGCAGTTAATGAGGGAAATTAAAAAAAAATCTTTATATGAATATATTATTTTAAACTTTTTATTGTATTTTTTTTCTCTATGTTAAAAAATGATTTTAATGAAAATTTATTCGCGAATTCATAAATGAATAAATAAGAGTCGAAAAAAGGGAATTCCATTAACTGCGGATGACGGGGATTTCAGTCATTGACGTTCTCTGGCTCAATTGAAATTGATAACTCGGTACGAATTATGAAAATTTCTCTTTTATTGTGGTTGAGAGAAATTCAGTTCTATCTTTGAGTCAGGGCATCAAATAGACATTCTTTTCTTCAATTAGTCAGTACCCAGAAGCTATTTAGTCCGATAGGGTAATTCCAAAATAATTTTTTTTCTATCCTTCAAAATGGCGAAGAGGTTTATTGACGAAGACCTTTGTGACTATATTTGTGAAAGTGATCTATCAAGCTTAGATCTCTCATCTGATAGTGAAGAATTTACTAATGAGGTTATAATTGATGACTTTTCTGATAATGAACAAATGAATACACCAAGCACATCACAGGCAAAGTGGTCCTGGTCACTCCTCGGAAGCAAAAGAAATCATTTTATTTTTTCTGGAACTTCGGGTGTGAAAATAAAGAAAACCAATCCTGATAATGTCTTAGAAATTTTCGAATCCATTCAAAGTGCTGAAATAATTTCGAAAATTGTCTCGGAAACCAATGCATATGCTTATGAAATTTGCAAACAGAAATTTATCTTAGGATTATTAAAGAAAAAAAGTAGACTACAAAATTGGAAAGATATAAATTTTGGTGAGATGCGTCTTCTCGATGCAATGTTGTTGTTGATGGGAATCATAAAAAAGCCTGATTTTCAGATGTACTTTTCAAAAGATCCTGTATTAGCAACTCCATTTTTTGGAGAAATAATGCCAAAAGATAGATTTCTTCTTCTTCTGCAGCATTTGTACTTCTCGGATTCAATTTCAAATGATTCCTCAGATAAATTATATAAGATTAGAGATCTTCTAAATTTATACAAACATTCTTTTCAGAGTGCTTATTACCCTGAAAAGAATATATGCATTGATGAGAGTTTACTTTTATGGAAGGGTAGGTTAAGATGGAAGATGCATGCCCCCCAAGTTCGATTATTTGGCATTGAGGGCTATTTTCTTTGTGAATCAAACACAGGATATGTGTATAACTTTGAAGTTTACAGTGGAAAAGGAACAGATCTTCAATTGCCTCCTTGTGCAACTGAGATTGCACCCGAATATTTAAATCATTCAACAAAAGTTGTTCTGCATCTGATGGAAGGTCTTTTAGACAAGGGCTTTTATCTTGCAATGGATAGCTATTACACTTCGCCACCTCTTTTCGACTTTTTAGTTTCCCACATGACAGATGCAGTTGGAACTTTGCGAAAAAACCGAAAAGGAATTCCAAAGGAAATTTTAAAAGCAAAGCTAAAAAAGGGACAAGATATTACTATGTATAAAGGTAAACTTATGGTCATGCAATGGAGAGACAAGAAAGAGGTATTGATGATAAGCACTACCCATGATGCTGAAAGAAAAATTGTAAATGAAGGTAATTTAGAAAAGAGTAAGCCTCTTGTGTGTATAGATTACAAGATGATGATGGGTGGCGTGGATCACACGGATCAAGTGATATCATCATTCGATGCAGCTAGGAGTCATCTAAAAAAGTACTACAAACAAATCTATTTGAGATTCCTTGATATTGCTGTACTGAATTCATTTATAATCCATAAGAAGCTTGGTGGAAAGAATACATTGTTAAAGTTCAAAATAGAACTCATAAAAAAGCTTATTGAAAAATATAGTGAAAACACTTCCAAAGCTGGAAGATATGCACCATCGTCATCTCCTCTTCGTCTCACAGCACGTCACTTCCCTAACTTTACTCCTCCAAAAGAAGGAAAACCTGGAAGATCTTCACTTCGATGCCGCGTTTGTGCAGCAAGAGGAAAACGAAAGGACACATCGTATATGTGTAAAGAGTGTGATGTTGGATTATGCATCGTACCTTGCTTTGAAATCTATCACACAAAAGTGGATTTTTCTATATAAATATTTTTAAACATTTTTTTTTTTTTAAGTTTCCCTTCATTAGTAAGGTTTATTTTTTTAATCATCCTATTTAAATTTATATTCAAGCAAAAAAAAAAGTAAAAAAGACAAATACCTCCACTCCCAATATTAAAATTACTGCCACTTTTAGAAAACCTGCACCTGAGTGGTGCCTACTGTCAAATCACGCTGAAAACACTGGCTCTCATTCAATTACCAAAGTTAAGCAGCATCAAGCCCGGTCAGTACTTAGATGGAGAACTGTGTGGGAACATTAGGTACTGTAAGCAAACTCCCACAACCAAAAATATATTTCATATATATATAAATAAATATATAAATAATCCACAAAGAGTTCATAAACTGTAAAAAATAATTCAAATTCACCTGCCATAGTTGTGTTATGGGAATTCCAAATTAAAACAAACAAAACACATTGATTGAATATTAAGTTAGAACAGCCAATGAGTGTGTATCTAGATTTTTTTTAGATAAATATTTCACTTTATTCAATATCTACTGGAACTAGAACATTTGTTTTCCCGTAAAAGTCTTTGAGACAAAAGAATGCATATATGGGAATGGGTTGTTAATGACAATTGTAAATGACTAGGCTTTATGAAATCATGTTTTTTTTTTTTTTAGTTTTAAAAATATTTGTGGTAGGTAACTTATTCATTTAATTTATTATTATTGCTTATACAAAGATGGAATTACATATAGAGTTACCTATCAGTAAATCAATGTTATTTGGAGGATATCACATCAATCAAAGTATTTTATACAATGAGGAATGGACTATCAATGTTTTTTGGGAGGGTCTCACATTTAGAAAAATAATATCTTACTCAATTTTAGCAGAAAGCTACAAAAGTACATGGTACTTAGTGAGGAAAGAACTAAATATTAATGATCTGCAGCCATGAAAGACCCAACACAAAGGTTTATCAATAAGTTCATAGCCTGAAATGATTATATGAATTTTAATTTGAAAATGTTACTGTATAATGTTAAATCTAACATTCACTGAATTAAGTGCATTGACAAGAAAGGAGATTATGTTGTAAAATAAATACTTTTTTCATCATTATGCTAATTGATAAATTTACATACACACAAGGAAGGAGTGAAAAGTTCTCGGCTCAAGCCACTTCCCAAAATCAGTATTTGGATATTTGGTCATAGAAATACTATTTGTATGAAGTGGATTGGACCACCCTCTCTGAAAACTGAAAATTTTAAAAATTGTGAAAAAGAAAGCTTTCTTTTTTGCTCTTATTTATTAACTTGATGTGTACATGACATAAAAATGTTTTCTTTTTGTCTAACTGATGATTTCAATATTTCAAAAATCTAATTAATACTCATTATACCTATTGAAGTATCTGTTTAAAAAATAAATGAAATTATACTGAAAGAATTGATTTGCTGAAATCATATTAATGGGCTCATAAACTGTTTTTATTAATCAAACTATTATTTTAAAACTATTTTTCTTTTTTTTCTTTGTATAACAACTCTAATAATGCGTTTTAAAAAACCCATACAAATTTATTATATAAAGACTGTAAAATAATGTTGTAAATATAGGTACTGTATGTACTTGAGTATAGTGCAAGTTTTTATGATTTTTTTTTTTTTTTTTTTTTTTTTGTATGCAAAAATTTGAGGTCACACTATACACAGGAAAATTCTTTCTGGAGGGATTATGATTAATGCAAAAATATTCAGGAGGTCACACTATACATAGAGTTGGCTTATACACAAGTATATACGGTATCTCTGTTTTTGAACATTCACTTTACATCACTTTGTTTTGACAAAAACTTACATTAGTACCTATTATGATATATCTACTTAAGAAATGTTTCATAAGAACCTTTCACTTTTTGAATAGCAGAGGAAACCTGTTCTTGAGAAATAGTCATTTCCAATGTGAATAGGTATTTACTAAGTTTACTTTGGTGTGGCACAAGACTATAAGTATAGAGTACTAACTGAAGATTAAATCATTAGTAATGATTTGTGAGATGAGTTTACTGAGCATGACTCCACAAGTCACCTTTTATAATGTGAATATACCTCCTATATAATTAAAAATATTTATATTTTATCTGTTGTATAGTCTTGGGTGTAACTATTACAAACTGACTTTGTCCATGATTTCTGCTCTAAAATATTTGTTTATACAGTATTTACCTGATGCCATTTTGAAAGTTTTCAAATTGTTAAATGTAAAAAAAAACCTGGAAAAATGAGGACAACAATTTTAGAATAATTCTTGAATTTTGATATTTTATACTTAAAATATTTCATTATAATGATGAATTTTTAATAATATAGAAAAGTAAAATTAACTTAGGAAATACTTGATTAGTGATATCTGAATAATCCTACTTCTGTCCCATATTTATTATATGTGTTCAAACCTGGCATCTTGGCTTCAGTCACTTTCCCACCACTGCAATCTAGCTTTCCTGTGCCTTTTCTATAAATACTTCCATGTTAATTGTTCTCTATGATAGCTAGACTCTATGAATATAAGTGCAGTACTAGATTGGCAGCAAGACCTCAACATTTTACAGTTGAAATTGCTAGATGTAACCATAAGTTTTTAGCTAACAGTTTCTACTCTCACACTTCTCGCTTGTGCAACTCTCTTCTAGCTTCTTGCTTTCCAGTGAAGTTTAATCTTCAAAAATTTAAATGCAATGTCAATCATTATCTTCTCTCTTCTTAATTCTTGATGTTTTATTGTTCTTGCCCCTTAATATTTTCTTTTCTTTTATTCTTATACACTCATTAACCCTCTGCGACTTAGTGGCTTTGTTGCCTTGCTTGGAGTGAAATGATTAAATTATATACTTTAAGAATTAGGAGGTCAGATAGAATACCTAATACTGAACTCCTAATTTTTAAAGTTTAAAGCTCTACATGGCATTTTTATTTTATTTTTTCACATATGCATTAAGCACTTTTTATACTAGTGTTTCCTGGTCTGATTCAACTCTGACAATTAACCATATATATATATATATATATATTATATATATAATATATATATATATATATATATATATATATTTTCAATTAAAAGGTAAATTAATTTAAAATTCATGAATCATATAAAAAACAAATATAGAGGTTAATGATTTAAATGGCGAGAATACATCGTATAAGATACACCAACCTCGAACCTGTATATGAATGCAACTGGAATTTATAAACAGGGATCATATCATTCATATACAGGTTCGGGGTTGGTGTATCTTATTTATGTGTTTGAGACAATGTATTCTCGCCATTTAAATTATTAACCTCTATATTTGTTTTTTTGTGAATGATTCATGAATTTATATATCACCACCACAACAATCAGTTACAATAAGTTTGTCTTTGTAATTCACACCTGAGAATGATCTCAGAGGAGACCAAAAGTATTTGGGTAGGAAAAAACTACAGCCTCTTCCTTGATTAATTTCATCTTAACATCAAGAAACTGAATAGATAACTAGAAAGGATTATTATAAAAATAAATAGACATAATATGTCTATATTATTCAATGAAATATGTTTGAATGAAGATATGCTGCCTCTCTCTCTCTCTCTCTCTCTCTATATATATATATATATATATATATATATATATATATATATATAATACACACACACACACACACTGTATGGGATGTGTAGCAGCTACAGTCTCATGACTGGGTGTGCTTATAGGGTTATTGCACAGCTGAGAATCTAACCAACTTTATCTATATGCCTTGGTTTTGTGCCAATGTTTGAGTCTCTGTGAAGGATTTTCCAGTTCACTCAGCCCATTTTTTCTCTTTTTTCCCTTTTCTTCTTTTACCTTAGGTGGTACCTTGTGGGATGTTTGTGGAAAGATTGTTGACTTGTGATGTAACCCAAGCATTTCAATTTCCGCTTACACAACCTACTTAAGAGATGCTTAGGATGGTTCTAAAGTATCTCATTTTTAATGATTGGATCCTTTGCTGTCATTCTACTGTTAATATCTATGATTAATAGGTGTGCAGAAAGATTGAGAAAGCCAATGCATGCAACAGTCTGATCTTTGATTTCAGGCAGATGTTCTTGTCTTTCCAGAGAATTCTTAGTTTTGTGACAGCAGTTGCAATTGTCTGTGCTGCTCATAAAATTATTTCTTTCCTAGAGCCTTCTTTTCTGATAATAAAGCTAAGATATTTGAATTGATTCACTCTTAAGTTTCTGACCACAGACTTTTATCATGCTTGAAAGCCCTTTCTCATCATTCATGATGGGTTTGGTTGTTTTTGCCATTTAATTTACTGAAATATAAATATTTCAGTTTCTGCCAAATGGCACTGAACAAAAGACATACTTGTTTTCTAAATAAAACTTTATCAGCATTTACATTTACACAAGCTCATTAGGTACATTACTCACTGTTTCCCTATTGTCCTCAATAAGTCCTGTGAGTGTTCAATTCTCCAAGACCTCTTTCCTCATTATGTGTTCCAGAAATTTCACCTTATCAAAAAGATTAAGGTGGCCAATGCACACAACACTCTGATTTTTGATTTCAGGCAGATATTTTCCAGAGAATTCTTAGTTTTGTGATAGCTGCCATTGTTTATGCTGCTCTTGAAATTATTTATTTTCTAGAGCCTTTTTTGCTGGTAATTGAGTCAGGATATTTGAATTGACTCACTACTAAATTTTATCTTGCTTGAAAGCCCATTTTATCATTCATCATAAGTTTTATTTACTTTTTTTGCATTAATCTCCATGACAAATGTTATAGAACGTAGTATTATTATTTGGGTATTTATAGTCATTAGTTTTATTTTAATGTTTTTTTTCTTTAAAAAAAGGGCAGAAGAATATCAATTTGAAAAAAAAATTCTTTCAGGACATTGTCATTGAGAGTATCTATGAGCTTGTCTTTAGAGTAGTCCATTGAATCCAATGGAATAACATAATACTGTATTTTAATCACTTTGTTGAAAATTGATTATATTTTTTATTCAGATAAGAATTCTTCATTTGCTTCAAAATATCATCAAAACAGTTGATGTATGTAAGAGTATGCATGCATATAATTAATGAGATATTAATATACAATTATGTATCTACTATTTAAACAGATTTTTAAGTGAAATATAATTCATTTGAATCTCTTACCAAGTTATAATGCCCAAGGTTAGCATTATTTATTTTGTCACCTACTGTCAACAATAATGTAAATTGTAGAACAGAAATTACTTTTGTAATTTAATTATAATCTCTGTTAACTTTGAAAAAAAAAATAGAAGCAACTTTGAAGATTCTTTTCTTCTAGATAACTAGTTAACACTGTTCATGCTATAACTATACAATTGTATTACAGTGGAACCGCGAGTCACGAACGCCTCTCATCACGAACAAATCGGTTCATGAACAAATTTTTCGGATGACGAATGGTGTCTCGAGTGACGAACACGCAAGTCGGCAACAACGTGTGGCAACAAGCCGGGAGTATCAGCGGGAGAGCGTCAGTTGCAGTGTAGCTTTCGCTTCATACACATCCCCGCTTGAATTCGCCGTTCCTTCTCTTGAATTGTGTTTTTTTTTTTTTATTAAATAAGGCACCATGTGGCCAAAGAATGATAATGATAGCAGCAAAGTGAAAAGAAAAATGACCAGGATCACAATTGAGGTGAAGAAAGAAATCATAGCCAAACATGAAAATGGCTTTCGTGTCTCTGATCTTGCTATTCAGTTTGGTATGGCAAAATCAACGATCTGTACTATTCTCAAAAATAAAGAGACAATCAAGGGAGCTGATGTTGCAAGAGGAGTCACAGTTCTTACTAAACAAAGATCACAGACGATTGAAGAAGTGGAGAAATTGCTGCTGATTTGGATAAACGAAAAACTGTTAGCTGGTGAAAGCATTTCTGAAGGTATCATTTGTGAAAAAGCAAGGCGATTACATGATGACCTGGTAAAAAAATACCCTGGTACGAGTGCTGATACTGATGTTTTCAAAGCTAGCAGAGGGTGGTTTGAGAAATTTAAGAAAAGAAGTGGCATACATAGTGTGGTTAGGCATGGGGGATCTAGGAGTATGAACCAAGAAGCTGCTGGGGAATTTGCACAAGAATTTAGTGATTATGTAAAGGTTGAAGGATTTCTTCCCCAACAAGTGTTTAACTGTGATGAAACCGGTCTGTTCTGGAAAAAAATGCCAAGAAGGACATACATCACCCAAGAGGAGAAAGCATTACCAGGACACAAGCCAATGAAAGACAGACTAACTCTTTTGCTATGTGGAAATGCAAGTGGGGACTTCAAGATCAAGCCATTACTTGTGTACCACTCAGAGAATCCGAGGGTGTTTAAGAAAAACAATGTTATAAAAAGTAAATTGCCTGTTATGTGGAGGGCTAATTGTAAAGCTTGGGTAACTAGGCAATTTTTTATTGAGTGGATCCATGAAGTCTTTGCCCCAAGCGTGAAGAAATACTTGCAAGAAAACAATTTGCAACTGAAGTGCCTTCTTGTGATGGATAATGCACCTGCTCACTCTCCAGGCTTGTCGGATGAGTTGGTGGAAGAGTTAGATTTCATCACACTGAAGTTCCTGCCTCCAAACATGACTCCTCTAATCCAACCCATGGATCAGCAGGTCATTTCAAACTTTAAGAAACTCTACACTAAAGCACTTTTTCAAAGGTGTTTTGAGCTAACCTCTGATACAGAATTAACACTCAGAGACATCTGGAAACATCATTTTAATATCCTCCATTGCTTAACTCTCATTGACAAAACCTGGCGTCAAGTGACTTACAGGACCATGAATTCGGCCTGGAGAAAACTGTGGCCAGATTGTGTTGCAAGCAGAGACTTTGAGGACTTTGATACTGAGGATTCTGCTGTTGTCGATGATATTGTGTCTCTAGGCAAAAACATGGGCTTGGAAGTTAACAATGAAGACGTGGAGGAGTTAGTAGAGGACCACAAAAATGAGCTCAGCACTGAAGAACTGGAACAACTTCAGCAACAGCAACAAAAGGCAATTATAGAGGAAATGTCTTCAGAGGAAGAGATAGTAAGGGAGGATGTTCCGTGTTCTTTGATCCGTGAAATTTGTGCAAAATGGGGTGAAGTGCAAAGTTTTGTGGAACGATATCACCCTGATAAAGCAGTAGCAAGCTGCAGCATAAACATTTTCAATGATGGTGCCATGTCTCACTTTAGAAACATTTTAAGACGTAGACAAAAACAAATCTCATTGGACAATTTTTTAATAAGACAGAGGCCCAGTGAGTCTCAAGCAGAGTCGAGTGGTGTTAAGAGACAGAAAAGAGAAAGAGAAGAAACCCCAGAAAGACAGTTACCTGACGTTTTTATGGAATGGGATTCCTCTTTCAAACAATAACATCTCTTCCCCTTCCTCACCACTTTCCACTTAGGCCATCAACTCTCCTCTGTACAGGTACGGTAAAATTAAATTAAGTTTTCATCTATATCTGTTTAGTATTGTTTTATCTTTTTGTGTTAGTTTTAATGATTTTCATTGGTTTTGCATATGAACTTGTGCACAAAGTATTGTAGTAAAAGTTTAATTAAGCAATCATTTGGGGTCCAAGAACAGATTAATCCTTTTTACATTGATTCCTATGTAGAAAATGGTTTTGGTTTACGAATATTTCGGGTCACAAACGGCCTTCAGGAACTAATTAAATTTGTGACCTGATGTTTCGCTGTATTTTCTTAGTAAAAACATTATTAAAGAGTTACCTCCCTTGAATTACTTTCTGTTTCCTCAGTTAAATTTACCTTTTTTGATTCTTTATTTTAAACTCTTTTGTTCAGGTTTTTTTTTATTGAGTGAGAGAGCATCACAAGAAATTTCCCAAGAAAAACACATACATGTTAACTCCTCTAATCAATTCATTTCAGAAGCCATGAGAGCCATGTCTAGTATAGCACCAGGGCAATTAATATTATTAATAGTGGAAATTGTTAGAAAGTTTTAATATGAGATGCAATGAAACATAAACTCTTGAAACAATGTATTGTGATTCAATAAAGGAGAGATAAAGAATTTGCATCTAAAATAGAGACCAATGAACTGTTTAATTAATTGTTCCCATTATATTTTAGACATTCAGTGGTATCTATGATACATTGATTACTCTTGGCACTTATAAAGCACTTTTGCTCAATATCTTTTCATGTTAAAAGTGATCATTCATAAATTTACTTAATTTATTTACTTTTAGTTTAATTACCTCCCTTCCCACTACAAATGGGACAAGAAATATATAGATATACATTAATATAATTATTATATCACTTGATGATTGAATATTATTACTACTACTACCACCATCATTATAATTATTACAGTCTATTAAATAATTCTTATATAGAAGACTTACAGATTCATATTTTCATATTTATTTACTTATTTATTTATTTATTTATTATTATTTGTTTTGTTTATTCCTGCAAGCTCTTTGTGGAGTATAAGGTTTACAAGTGATACTGCTGCAGCTTCACAATCAAGTGAATTTTAATGGTGCAAACTCGACACCCAAGATGGCTTGCTTTACAATGCTAAAGAGCCTATTTACCATAAGTAGGTGAAGTGGATTCATGCCTTTTTTAAGTAAATTAGTGCAACGTGAACACAAACTGTCTCAGCCAAAGCTTGAACTTGATTCACCAATTCCATTCTGTGCTGTTAACTGTTAGGCCATGTGCACACCTCTATAAGTCTGTTAGTCCACGAGAATACTTAGTGATATCAATTCTCTTCAGAGCCCGATCATATTTTACAGCAGAATAATTGTATTATGATTTACATTGTTTCTTTCTTGTTTCTATTTCCTGTCCTTTGAAGGGCATTATTATCATTAACTACTAGAAAAGAGGAAATAGACTGTACTGTTTTAAAATTGATGCTAGTAGTATGAAGGAATGTTGAAAAATTCTCAAGTCTGATTAAGAAAGGATTCAAAAGCAGGATTCTGATTTTGGGAAATAAATCAAGCAGAAAACTTTTCAGCACTTCCACATATTAAATCTGTCATTTATTATTGTTATTATTATTATTTCTATCATCATCACCATCAATTTCAGACAAACGTTTACACCAAATCCGTCAGCAAGGGACAAAGGAGCCTTCAGCCAAAGATATCCTTAATGGACTGGCTGTAAAGAAAGCAGATATCATGAAGCAGTTCCTTGAAGAAAATTCCTCACACTTGAATGAAGATGACCTAAATTCTCTGGATGCAGAAAACTTCCAGACTTTTCTACAGAGAAAAATCTTCCCAGAGCGTCAGGCCATATCTGCTGAAGAATTGGTTACCTTAATACAGGCTGATGAGTTGGCCAAATTAGTAGAGTCACAGGATTTGGACACAAATGTAGAGGCTGGAAGTAGAGAAGTCCAAGACTAACTTAATCCACAATTTTCAAAACTTAGAAATTAATGTAATGTTGAGGATAACCATTTTGTGCTTAGGGTTATGATCCTGGCTGAAATAAAAGGTGCTGTATTTGTGACATACTATGTAAATATATTTAATAATGAATGCTTTTGTTAGAGATTATAGATAAGGATTTTAAAAAATTTTCAATTAACTTCTCTTGTTTATGTAAAAGAAAATCATATCTGAATTCAATGAGTGTAAATTGTGTCTAAACATCCTGGCTGTTATCAAAGTATGAGCAAAGAAAATTTTGTTGGCCATACAAATATTACTTTATCCCATAGATTATCTCATCATTTGTCTGGTCAAAGTTACATTCATGCTCATATTAAAGAAATAGACTGTAAGGCACTGTTTTTCTACTAGTATACACCAAGTATCTGTGAACAATATGCAGAAACTGTATAACATTAACTGTTAAAAAAAATAAAAGTCTCCAGATTATTGAAGCACATATCATAAAACCATGAACCCCAAGCACTTTGGGAAATGGGATTTTGAATGTATTTAACAACTGCTAGATAAATTCAGTCCATTGAAAACTTTTGCATGCATATCACATCATCAAAATGCACAGACACTAAAATATTAATTTTTTTTTTAAATTTAAAATTAAAAAAATGTTTATCGATAAATTTTATTATTTTTTGTATTCTGATAATAATGGACAAAAGCATGTTTGGAAATGCTACATCTAAAAACATCTGGACAATATTTACACTCAATGGATTCAGACATCTGTTATTTTATATGAATGATGCTGAAAAGTTTATTACCCATCCAAGAAGGGATTAAAAAAAATCTGATATTTGGTTAGATTTTTGAAAATGATTTACACTGGACATAATTTCAGCACCCCCTCATATGTAAACAAGAAAAAATTAATTAAAAATTAAACATTTCTTGTCTTCTGTCAAGCATTAACAAAGCATTCTTTCTTAAATACACATTTAAATATACAAGGGCTGTTCAATGAAAGATTTTGCCATGACCCATTTCCAGTGGATAGAAATTGTCACATGAACTAATCCTTATCCACATCCTCCCAGATTTAAATACTTCTAACATTGATACACTTGTGAATACTTTTATCCTGAAAGTGCTTAACTTTCAAATTTAATTTCATAAGATAGGAAAAAAGTGATGCCACATCATGAAAATAGAGGAAAGATTTCATAGCCACAAGAGCATGTGTCTATTTGTGCAACGTGGGAGTTCTGTACTGGTATATTCATTTGGTTGTTCTGGAGGCTTTTGCTGAGTACCAGAAAAATGTTGGACACATACCTTTTTAGAGCTGTTGGAAATCTCTGTGTTTCCATTGTTTGAACTGCTTGAGTCTCTGTGTGAAAGTGGTGAACCAATGTTATATCCTGTGTAATCAGTTTTCATGGTTTACCTGATACATGAAATAAATAACTGGCTTCCTTCTGGAAAGGTGTGAGCAAACGAAGAACCCACTGCATTGACACTTTCCATATATTTAGGTGATCATGGATGATTTTTTTTCTACAGACCCAACACTAATCTTGATCCTGTTTGCTTGCTCCTGAATGATTATGTAGTAAATTCCATTTATTGGATGGTGTCACTGTCAGTGGTTGACTGATGGCAGCCAGCAATATAGCCCATTTCTGCTGAAGATTAATCATATTTAAAATGCACTTAATTTTATAGGATCATGCACTTGGTTTATATATACTACTGTCATCTTCAAAATTGTCTGTGGGGATGTTGCCTTTCAATAAGAACCTGATTCCAGCTCTGTACTCTACTGAAGTTCATGTTACACTTTAATCAACATTTGCACCTGAAATGTTGAAACATTTGTTAGTATGGTCCTGCAAACAGAAGTGTATCCCCTGTATGAATTTATAGTTTTGATATATGCTCATTGGAAGTAGGTCAAAACAAATCTTTAATGAAGCCCCTTATATGTATCTATATTTGTATGTATTTACTTACTTTTAGAACAAAAAAAAGAAAAATTGAACAGCAAGTACATAATAAAAGCAAAAAACGAAATTTTAAATATTTGATATTAAAATTTTAAAACTGTTTTTTGTGGTTGTGTTAATTTTAAACTTTTTTATGCTGTTGATTTTTAAAGTTTTAAATATGCAAAAATAAGAAATACTGCACAGCATTGCAATAAATATTATTTACAATGCATGCACATCTATATTTTGCTGACAATTATTATTAGAGTGAATCAAAAATAGTTTTGTTTGTGAACCTCTTAAGAGTTCTTATATACACTTACAGGCTATAATACATACTCTGAGTAATGATCAAATCTCTTCTGAAAGATTTTGCATGCTGGTAGGTGGGTCCTCCTATTAATCTTAAAGTATCATAATCAAAAACTGGTCCTCTACTTCTGGTTTTTCTTTCAAAGAATAGGTTATCATTGTAAAAAAACTTAAACCAGTTTTAAGCAATATAGTTAGATATAATTTCATTTCTTTCTATTTGCTGAATTCTGCAAGCATCAATGAAGTCCAGTTTAAAATAATGCCTCAAAATTGCCAGATATTCTTTAGATATATACACGAATGATAAAAGGATTGATATGAAGTATCCAAACAAAGTAGCTTTGGTAGAATTTGTGAAAGCCAATTAGAGGTTTAAATTTTTTTATTTTGTTGTCAACATTTTGCTCTGTACAAGTATTTTCAAAACAACTGAAAAATGTCTAAGGAAAAAATTGTTACTATTGCAACCTTGTAACTTAACCATTATTACCCTATATGTGACTTTTGCTGTGCAAAAAGTTTATCTGGCCACTGAAGATGACTGATCTCTGAATTGGAATTTTATAGTTGTCATATCTTGCTATGGCAACAGAAAATGCTTTTCTATGAAATTAACAATAAGCTTACTGCATTGGAAAAGAATGCAATGGAAAGGGAAGTAATATTAATAATGCAGAGTGCTAAAGGTTAAATTTTAAAATTTTTTATGGTTAATAAATATCCATGAACAAATTAATGAGATTTGTATATAAGAAATACATTAAAATGTAAATATCATTATTTGATGGAGGCAACTATTAGGTTGGCCAGAAATTCCTGACTTGCTTAATTAGTTCAGCACAGTCTGATGGGATGATGCTTGAACAACTTTTGCAAGATCACAACGACTTGCAGAAGATTCAACTTTCAATACTGCCATTAAAGGCATGCTTGTCAAAGGCTGATGGTCAGATGGAATGTGGTTGATCATCAATGAGATCCTCAGAGTCAAAACATCTATACTACCTTGAGACCTTTGACTGACTGACTGTGCCATCCCCTTCAATATTGCAAATTTCCTTCACAGTAGCTCTTGTAGAAAGTCTTTGCTTGTAACAGTAGTGAATCAAAACTCTAATTCCACTTTCTTCCAAACTCATTTCTGTCAGTTGGGGCCTACACAAAGAGGAATAAACTGTGCAGGAGCAACAAAAAATGTGGCATACAGAGGCTGGTAGTCAAATGAATAAGGATGTTCTGGCTAAACAAACCTAATGTTGTTGCTATGCCATAAAATTGTCATTTTCTTTCCGCTTCCTAAGTGAGTCAGGACTTTCTGGCCAACCTAGTAAAATGAAAAAGTTATAGTGTGAAAAATAAGTATATTCCAAAGAAAATAGTGAATACATATAACTTGAAATATATGTACTGTATATTTCTGCATATAAAACAACCTTTAAATCCCCAAAATCACCCTTAAAAATTGGGGGGTCATCCTATACTACAATTCTAAAAAAGAAACCTTAAATTCTGAGTGATGTTTGCTGGTAGGCTAACCTCTGCCTCAGTACGATAACCAATAATGTACACAAAAAGATTCACATTATCAAATAAACTGATAATAAAAGTAATAAAACCATTTCTACCTTATATATAGCTGACATAACTTCATAATAAATTGCCTATTTAAAGAATAATTCCAAATCAATGAAATCAACTTGTATCCATTCAAACTTGGCTGAGAAAATGTAAACATCAAGTTTTGATTGCATTCACAGCAACCTTTTATTTTTCACTAAACTTTCAATAATGAATAATAAACTGAATAAAAAAAATGTTGAAAGTGGTATGTACTATTATACTGTTATTAGTGGTATTTTGTGATTGTCAATGAAGTATAAGTAAATGGCCCTTAGTACACCAGGTTGTTTGTAACTGTTTAGATATAGGAAAAGAAGAAGAAGAATGGACGTGTGGGTGGTGTAATGGATAATGGCTTGGATTTGTTAATTGGAGAGCCAAGTTCAAATTCCCATTGGATTCATTATATTTACTTACTAGTAAATACCCTTGGGAAAGGTATAAATCCACCTCTTTTCTCCTCAGATATGGGTTAATTGGTAAGACTTGTATCACTAAGCAGTTATTATCTCCAAAAATAAAAACATTCTTACAATCTAAAAATGTTTTCTGGTTTTAAATAACCTGTGAATCCATAGAAAACAAATCAATCAGGTAAAGTACTATCTTAAAAAAGGTAATTTGTTATAAAAACTTACTTTTTTTATTAATGTCACAGCTGATTAAAAAATTCTGGATGATTTATGATGAATAAATTTTACTATTTTGATGTTTTTAAAATTAAAAGGATGGTTTGTATATTGTATATTAGAGAATAAAGAATTTAATGTCTTTTCAATTTTTATAGCTCAATTGTGTTCATAGATACATTTAAACTTGTAATTGCTAAAATATATATTATCCCATGTAATAAATGTGATAAAATTTATAAAAGATTAGGATGGTGTGATATTTTGCTAAAAAGCCCTGCATAAGACATGAAGAATCTACTTGTTCCATTATTGTGAATACAATGGCCATGCAGCAGTGTCTCATTAACAACTGATTAGCCTCACAGAATAGCATCTGTTTATACATGCATACGTCTCCTCTGGTTACAAAGTTACATCCAGACACCACTAGTATATATTTTGAACAGACTTTATATATCAG